AAAAAAAGAATTACAATAAAGAGTAGTAGAACCTAATTCAAATTTAGAACCTATTTGATTTGAATCCAGTAAGATGTGAAGAGTGGTATTACCTCTCCCACGTCGTCCTTGAGTTCAGTAAGAGCTTCGTCAGCCATGATTGCTGCAAAACAAAGAGCAGAAGTAAGACACGGGAAATCAAACAAATCAGTGCATAGACACACAAAAGATTGCGATGCAAACAAAACCCTCCAACAACAGAAATAGACAGACTTATATAATTTGAATATCGGATAAAGCAACAAGGATTTTTTTAATTTAAAATAAAATTAAAACAAATTTGAGAAACAAATATATCGCTGGCAGAATCAAATTTTATTTATTTATTTTTAAATATATATAAATAAGCAGAAAAAAAAAAAAAAAAAGAAAGAAAGAAAGCAGTGGTTTCAATAATAGGAAGACTTACTGCCGATTTATGTGACGCCGGAGGATTGAAATATGGGTTGAAACTTTGTTTCGTTCGGGGAAATAGGAAACAGGAATCTCCTGAAAAGCCAATATAGCAGGGTTGAGTGAGACAGTTTTTTTTTCTTTTTTTGGTAAAAAGGGTTTTCCTTCTATATAACCATACGTTTAGGATTTTCCTCAATTTTACATTTTGTTTGGATCAATGAAGTTGAAGGGAAAGAAGAAGAACTTGCGGAGAAAAACTGTCTTCTGCTGACTGACATCATGACGTGTTTCTTCAGTTTCTTCTTTGGTTTCTCAATGCATTGTTTTCCCAAGTTTTTCTGAAAGAGACACCAGAACAAGATATGATTACCACAAAAACTGTTAAATCCAAATCCCAAATTTTTGAATGATGGTACCACAACAAAATCAAACTTACATATTTTTTCTTCATGGCCTTCACTTTTTGATGCAGCTGACTCTCTTTTTCAGTCAACAGAAGACATTTTTTCTCCGCAAGTTCTTTTTCAGCCTCAACTTTGGCAATTTTCTCCAGGTACTGTTGCTCCTTCTGCAATTTATCCTCCATTTGAGCTGCATATGTCTTCAGTAGCTGATCCATTACCTGATTTGCATTCTCAAGTTCCTGACATTTATTCTTAAGTTCCTGTTCCTCATCCTGAACATTCCATATAGCATACAATAAAATACAAAGACCGCACTCAGAGAGTAAAAATCTAATAATAAAGATACTTGTTCAATTACCTTTTTCTTTTGGCGGTATGCTCGATCAGATGCTCTTTTCCTCTGAAGCCTTTTCAGTTCTTTTTCTGCAGCTGGATCCAATTGTTCCTGGATCAATGGCTGAATTCCAGCTGGCATCTGATTCTCAGGCAATTGTGTTCTGTATGCATGCAGTGGACCGAATTGATCCATGGAATAAGACGCGTCAGGTGGGCCTGACAGCATTGTTGGAAGCTGTACCATTTTAAGTGTATCCGCAGGCAGCTGGTCACATTGTTGCTCGAATAATTCCTTATCATGACTTGACAGAGTCTGATTCTCATTATATGCAAATTCAGGGGCTGCTGGTGCTGAAAATATATAAACCAGAGAATCCTGTAAGGTGTATATGAGATATTCATGAAATTACTAAAGAAACACTATTATAGCTTAGAAAATCTAAAGATATATTGATTGGATTGAAGTTAAAAATTTGCAGTGTAACACTGTTTTTCTCCATAAAGTGGTGAGAGTTATAAAGGGTAAAAGCACAATTAGGGAGCTATATACTCAGGATAATGAAAAACCATTTTAAGGCTCACTGAAATGGGAGAGGAAGCAGTGTCATTCTACAAGAAGCTATTGGGGACAGCAAATCTAAACCGTGTTAAGGCAAATGATAAGTGGCCTGCAGATTTATTTTCCTTCTAATTACTTGTTGAGTTATCAGATTTCTTACTGTCACCAGTCACAAAGGCAGAAACAAAACATGTGGTGTCCTCTAGTCCTAGTGACAAGGCCACTGGTCCAAATGGGCACACATCAAAAATAAAATTTAACCAATCTTTTGCGTACCTCGTTGTTCTGTTCCTGACATTGAGAAAAAAAAAA